TCTAGAGGTCTAGAAGATTCCTATTATTAATTAAGAGAAGGATCTAGAATATATAAGAAGGAATATATAAGGAACGGTCTCTCTATATATTTAGTTCTCTCTCTATCTAGTCTTTACTTTAAGAATTATACTATATTCTTATTATCTTTAAGCTATACTCCGCCGATCCGTTTATTATATAATAGTCTATTATGGCTAGATCCTATTATATAACTCTATTTAGATATATATTCCTTATATAAGGAATATTATATATCTATTTATACCTGCCCTTTTCACAACGTTCATATCTGAAAACGAGCCTGGGTACGTTTAGTAAATCTACGGCTTCAAGATCAATTTTCCAGTTGTCTTCCTGCCCTCAAGATCCTGATGCGCCCTTGCAACTTCTGCCAACGGATAAGTATCGTGAACCCTCGGGTCCAAGTTATTATCTTGGATATACTTGAAGAGCTCCTGTACGTATCCGTCGTACTCCTGTCTCGTAACAATGTAATTGAACAGTGTAGGCCTCTGTACCTTGGCATTTTTCGCCGCCAGCCTGGCCAGCACCAACGGGTCTGGTGCTCCGGACGCGTTTCCAAATGATACTAACGTACCCTTGCGCGCGATACTCTCCAGGCTATCGTCGAACGTTGACTTACCCACACCGTCAAACACAGCAATCACTCCCGCGCCATTCGTTACCTCTTTGACCTTTTCGGGCACGGAGTCTTTCGTGTAGTCGATGAGCACTTCAGCACCATGACTTCGCGCAAGCTCGCGCTTCTCTGGCGTGCTGGCTGTCCCAATAGCGTGTGCACCGACAGCCTTGAGCAGTTGACATAACCATAACCCAACGCCGCCAGCAGCAGCATGAACCAACACCCAGTCGCCTTTCTTCACGGGGTGACTCTCACGAATAAGCGTGAGAGCCGTAACACCTTGAAGGAGGCTTGCTGCGGCAACCTCTTGCGAGATACCGGGGGGAATGACCGATGTATGCAATGAGGTGGCGATGGTGTATTCGGCGTACGCACCCGTACCGATATATATGACACGATCACCTATTTTCAGAGAGTGCAGATTACCGGAACCTGTGGATACAATAGTGCCGGAGGCTTCGCGGCCAAGAACATGAGGAAAAGATGGAGGTTTGTATAGTCCTGTGCGGAAGTAGCTGCGCAAAGTGAGGTTAGAAGATGGTGTCTGAAGTACTGTTTTTGGACATAGGACTGGTAATGCTTTGAATTTAGGAATTGCTAGAGTTGTCGCTAGACACATGCCCTACATCATGAAGTGGCGTGGGGAGACTTACGTGTCGATGTAGTTGACTCCGATGAAGTCATTCTTCACTAGTATTTCGCCTTCCTTCGGTTGTGGCACTGGAAGATCTGTCTTATACTGAAGTACCTCAGGCCCGCCGTTCTTTTCAATGATTACGCCCTTCATAGTCTTAGGGATCTCTTGTGAAGCCATTGCTCTTGCAAACGTGCGTGATGAAGACGATGTAAATTGAGTTCGCAGTATATCTAGACGAGATAACGTTGCAACTCGTGACTGCTTTAAGATTGAGCGACGAAACATGGGCTTATGAACGTTTCAACAGCGGCGAGGAGTTGCATCGACATGATTGCGTGATTGTCCACGGAATCATTCCATGGAGGGTTGCCGGATTGAGCTTTCTCCACTTTCCACTGGTCACGTCATAGCTCGCCGGATACGGACCGCTGTCACGGAATAGAGTCCGAGTCGGAAGATACCATGACTCTGTTTTCAGGGTCATTGGTGAGAGTACCTCCATCTGCCTTGCATTTGTTTGACACGTTTTCCCCGTCCATTCTCTACTTCACCATCATGACCACGCTGCTTCCGAGGGGGATAGCAAGAATCTAACCACTTCAATAAGCTCCTCGAAGATTCGATGGGCCCACATTCTCAACAAAGATGCATTTAACAGCGTAGACTACAATGAGGAATGAACGGGCCCATGAAACAGTACGAGAAAGGAGATATGATTTGCTATAAATGTTATACCTTGCTGAGTTTGATCGCCGCTGGGAGAATGTATTATCACGGAGTGCTACACATCCTACCCAGCATGCGTTGAGTTAAGCTGGATATCTGTCTCATCAAGTGGCTTAGAAAGTGCATTTCTCAATCGTATCATATACACACCTACGGAGTTCAAATATAGTCTAGCAAAAGTTTCCATCGAGAACACCTTTTGTCTCCAAGCTAGTCTCACCAGGTTATGGAATGTAGTGCATCGCCACATCGAATCGACTGGGACTAACGTCACCCATAGACAAGAAACGCCATATACTCCTATGTCTCTCTTCAAAGCCCACTGCCATTATTTGAGCACTTTTCCTTTCGCCTCTGAATCTGATAGTTCTCGGATGAAGACTTTGACGACAGAGCCTTCAATGTCCTCTTGGCCATCTTCGAAGCCAGAGCTCACAGCGACGGCGAGATACCGACCATCCTTCGAGAAGTCCAAGGCTGCTATACTGGCAGGATACTTCTGATATTGCCGAATACGTCGTTTCGCAACGCCGTCCCATAACGCTACGACACCGTCTCCACCACCGGAAGCGAACGTGCCGTGTTTCGGATGAAAAGAGAGCGCATTGACGGGGTATACGACGTCTACACTATCAACAGTCTGTCTGTGGCACTTGAAAGCATACTTTCGTGCTTGCGATTCGGACGATGGGTCAAACCATTCCACAGCGACGCGACCTTCAATACTGCTGCTCGCGTAGCCAGCATCATTTGACATGCAGGATACTGCACGTGTCATAAACTTTAATGAGCTTTCCCGTGTTTGCCACGGCTCGACTTCAAGTAGATTTGGTGAAGGTTGGGATGATTGTGCAGCTGCCGTAGCAAGAGCATCAAGTTCGTAGATGTGTACCGCGCGAGTCGCCATAGCGACGACAACTTTTGTAGCTGTTAAGGAAATTGAGAATGCTTTACTGGGAAGCTGTATCGTATTTGGGACGTGGTCGGGTTGTGATCGCAGATGAATATGCAGAGTCGAATCCCAGCCACCAGAGATGACCATGTCGTGCGCTGGGTCGTAGACCACAGCATTTGCGCCTGCGTCGTGACTACTGAGGACAGTCTGTTCACCTGTGGTCAAGTCGACTCTGAATACAACATTCCGGTCAGTTTGGTATGCCTGGGTCCTTAGTGGTGGCACTCACCTTCGTACATCCCAATCCACGCCTACGGTGAAAGCCTCTTGATCGTCTTTTCCAAAGCACAAGTCTAGTACAGGGGCACGGTGCTCATACTTCTGCAGTATGCGGGCCGAATCTCCTTCAGAGGCATCATATAGGTATACATGCTTGTCCCATGAGGCAACTAGCAGCTTGGGAGAGCTGGACGCGAACTTCACGGCAGAGATGGCATCTTGAGGAGACTCTGAAAGCTCAAACTGATCTATGCAATGTTAGTTCCACCTAACTCTCGTTCCTGTGGGTCTACCTTACGTGAAGTCATTTTGGGTATGGCGAAGGCTTGGTCACCTCAAGCTTGCCCAGATCAGCCAGTCATTGTTTTGAAGCTGCGGGCAACTTCACGGCTTCACTTCCGCTCCGAAATTTTACCGATGTCTGCTAATGGGTCATTATCATCCCAACCTAACTCAAAGCTTCACATATACCACTAAATGCCTTTTGCACAACTCATCGTTGGACCACCTGGGTCTGGCAAAAGCACATATTGCGATGGTATGCACCAATTCATGTCCGCTATCGGGCGCAAATGCTCAGTCGTCAACCTCGACCCCGCCAACGATCATACCTCATATCCAGTCGCCCTGGACGTTCGAGATCTTGTCACACTGGATGAAATAATGAGAGACGAGGATTTAGGTCCAAATGGCGGTGTATTGTACGCATTGGAGGAGCTCGAGCACAATTTCAAGTGGCTAGAGGACGGCCTGAAGAGTCTCGGAGGTGAACCAGATAACGCACCTATCTTCAAAGGAACATAGCTGACGTAGCTATGAAGACGATTATGTACTTTTCGACTGCCCTGGGCAAGTGGAGCTATTCACACATCATGCATCACTGCGGAATATCTTCTTCCGCCTGCAGAAGATTGGGTACAGAGTCCGCCCTCCCTCATATCCCTGATTCTTGCACGCAACCTGGCATGCAAGCTGACATTATTTCGTAGCTGGTAGTAATACACCTGACGGACTCTTTCGTACTCACGCAGCCCTCTCTATATATCGCAGCACTGCTCCTAGCCCTGCGTAGCATGCTGCAGATGGATCTTCCCCACCTTAACGTCTTGACCAAGGTCGACAACCTGTCAAGCTATCCTCCGCTTCCATTCAGCCTAGATTTTTACACTGAAGTCCACGATCTCTCCTATCTTCTACCATTCTTGAACGCGGAACAAAGTGGACGCAATCCGTCTACCCAATCTCTTGGAGATACCGAACGGGGGCTTCCCGAATCCAGATACGCATCTCTAAACCGTGCGATCACATCGTTAGTGGAGGATTTTGCACTTGTCGGCTTCGAGACACTTGCCGTGGAAGATAAGAAATCAATGACGGTACTACTGCGTGCTATAGACCGTGCAGGGGGCTACGTGTTTGGTGGGACCGAGGGAGCGAATGATACAGTGTGGCAAGTAGCTATGAGACAAGACGCAGTTACGATGGATGCGAGAGACGTTCAAGAGCGATGGATAGATCGAAGGACGGAGTTCGATGAGGCAGAAAGAAGGGCATGGGAGGAGGAAGCAAAGGGCTGGGTCGGGGGACGTACAGAACATGGCAATGGGCGTTCTGAAGTTACGAGTACGAATAATGGCATCAAAATTGTTAGGAAAGGGGGATGAATTACGGTCCGGCGCACGACCGATTTCAATATGGCGCAAGCCCAGTCTCAAGAAGCTGGCAATTAAGCTACTTCTGATGTTGACATACGACTTAACATCGATGATAGTGGAGTGCGCTGGTCGCGATACTCAACCAATATCGGCGAAAGTCAGGTAAAAAAATGGCCGATAGCGCTGGCCAAGCTGGGAAAGCAAGACACGATATTATAGGAAAGAATGATCTATTATGTCTCCTAAAGAGGAATTACAAAGTCTATGACTTAAGATGTAGCTTTCGGTCAAACTCCTGAACGCCTTCGCTCATATTCAATAACTCGCTAAATCCAATCACTGCTCTACACCAATTGCGCGTGGTCCATTGCATTCGCATCGTTCATAATAGGATCCTTGGACTCTTCCTGCGCTGTATCCCCGAAGGTCTCCTCCTCAGTCTTTACCGCGTATGAACCCCTTGCACCATTCGGCACGTGGAAACGCAAATCGATCCGTAGAATCGCGAACATATACACAATTATAATCTCGATCCCAAAGTTAACCAGATAGAATGCTACCTTGTGGAAATAGTCTGGCAACGGCTCTCTCTGGCTCACCGGTGTCAAATAACTCGTTGCAGCTCGATAGCTCGCGCCCAGGCATGCCAATATCGAACTCGCGTACAGAATCGCGATCTTCGTCCGGAAGCGTCCTGAGCCAAATTTGTCCGTGCGCTGTTTGCGCGGCAGCAGCAATGCTATCGTGAGCAGTGGGATCGGGTAGAAGCTGAAGAGCATGAAGAACGACTGGCCGTACATCTGGATGTCGCGGTCTATGCGACGCGTGTTCGTGCTCAAGGTGAAAAAGCTCTGCACTGTCGCAGTAATGACCATGACCAAGGACAAGACTATAAGTACGTAGTTCGACACCAGGAAGATCTTGAACCCTTTATGCCAGCCCCATGTCGGATGCATCGCGCGCACCACCCTCTGCGTGAATAGGAGGTTTACGATGAATATGAGCAGCACGCCCGCGGCGACGAAGATCGAGGCTGCGATGGAGAGGTTAAGGTTGGTGGGAAGCGATGTCGAGGCGATGCGCAGCGTGGTGGTTGCGATGCGCGACATGCAGAAGCCAAAGAGAAGTACCGAGAAGATGAACTTGTGGCCGCGGCGACGGTTCAATTGGAATATTGTCATGTGCGTAGCGGCGCCGAGGATGAAGAGGACGAGGAAGACGGCGGTGATCGGTATGTCGACGTGCTTCACATTTGCGCCGCCGAGGGCCCAGTTTGTTGGGCGATATGGACCCTGAATATGTTAGACGAGTCTCATGACTTTTATGTTGTTATGCTTACACTTGACATTGTTGCACGACTTGGTTGCAGATGGGTACCGTGAAACGACACTCTTTGGTGCAGACAGGTTACAGGTCGCTGGGACGGTGTCTTCGCTATTTAGCACAGGTTGTGAAACTTGTACGATGACGTGTTAGAGTGAGTGATGATGAGATAGATTGAAGTGAATCTATGAAAATGTGGTATGAAATGCAGTTCCTGCGTCATCTATATATCTCCTTGTAGGGCCGAGAGAAACGTCCGATAGATATACCTCAAAACCCCTTCTGGCGCGAGAGGCCGACGCCGTTAAGATTGTTGGTGTTGGCTAACGTCTCCATATGGGGAAGGAACGTGCTGGCCCATCGAAATCCACGTGCTAAACCCCGAAAAAACGATGAATGAGCATCGCTTTTGTAATACCAGCCAATAAGACGCCTTCGTTTGTGCAAAGAAGCGCCTCAGGCAGTAGTCTCGGCATCTGCGAGTAGCGAGCGCAGAGCCGACTCACCGACTTCTTAGTGCATCAGATGGCTAGATCGATCCTCAACTGTTCCCTAGTTATTTATGTGCGTGAGAAAAACGAACCCTTGCCGTCGGATCGGTGCTGTGCAGAGTTCCGTCGCGTAGCAATAATGACCACCCTACGTAAATATATTTGTAAGCAGACATCATGTTCGATACAATGTGTCGGAGGACGAACGCCGAGACGGCAGAAACTTGCCGGATCCAATGCTATGATTGCATTATAATTTGTGCATAACAGACGTATACTACCATGAAATGATAGATACGCGATTCAGATGGAAGATGTACGAGCATTAGAAATGGCGACAAGCGATGCCTGGGAACCGAATCCACGCTGGCCATTGAGCTGACAATTCAGCCCTTGGAGAATTTGATAAATGGAGGGCGGAAGGGGATTGTTGGCAAGCTGCGTCCCTGAGATGTTGTTCCGAAAAGACTATTCACGCTGTGCGCTAAATTCGTAGTGCTTGAGTTGCTAGACGTTGCACGATGTGGCACTTGCGTCCGCGACCTCAGTTGGTTTTCTATCGGTGTATGTATTTGCGTAGAAGTCAGCTTCGTGTTATATTTTCTCGACCGGGTCGTCACGCAAGGTGGTCTTCGTGAGTCATGCGACTCGGGCTGTATCTGGGCCAGCGAAAAACACCGATTCTCACTATTGGATATGTGTACTACCATCCTCTATCAGCAGACAGTCTTGTCAAAGGTTGTGTCATACATACTTTGCGTTGACTTGGCTCGAGTATGAATCAATTCGTTTGTTTGGTGGGTGGGAACTATCGTATATTTCAGTCTTGATGTTGAACGAAGAAGCCATAAAAGAGAACCATGTATTGGCTGACTTACATCTGGAACCTATTCCTATGGTCGGCCGAAGGAGCTCAGTGCTCTTTGCGGTACATTGATATTCGGGGTCTGTTTACAAGTTACATATCAGCGAGGCAAGCGACAAACGTTAATGAGAAGATGGTAAGAATGGAAGATATATCAGGTTCATAGTCTCACTTGTTAGCACGTGGCGTAATTGCACTTGAAGTAGTACAGGTTCGGTTCTTTTGATGGTTGCCACCCCTGGCAAATCTATAGGCATTGAGCGCTCTTGATGAGCTATGGACTGCTCTTGACTGCTTGGGTAGCATTCATCATACACCTCCATCCATGCATCAGGTCTCCGCATGGATGGAATCTGACATGGACGCCATGGATAGTCAGATTGCGTGGTTTTGCTCCTTTCAGTGATCTCGCCCTGGAAAATATCATCATAACTGATCTCATCGTTCTCAATGTGAGATATTATAGAACTTGGACCAGAAGCACGATCTTCGGAATCACTCATTTCCGACATGCTAGAATCCATGCTAGAATCCATGCTGCTTGGTGTGCCCGTACGTGCAGGAGCTGTGATTTGAGCGAGCTCGTAGTACACTTGGCTGTTCATGCGGGTGCGTCCCAAACCCACTCCGCTTTCAGTTGATACGTGCATCGGGCAGCCTTGGAGGTCAGTCTTTGCTACATAATCCCTGCTGTGTTCTTTGAGATGTACGGAGCAACTGTAGGCCGGTCAACTTGTACCACTAGACATGGAGATTTTGCGAGTGGAATCTATCTATAGAGATATCGCTGTAGAGCGAGAGACGTACCCTGGTTCTGGGGCCTCGTCAATCAAGACCAAAGTACTTTTCTTGGTCTGTTCATTGACAAGAGTCGCATGTGATGTTGGTCTTCCTCGAATTAGATGGAGGCATCTCGGAGCAGAAACTCTGACTCTCGAGTGGAAATGAGCCTTTGGTAGCGGGCCTATCCTAGTCTCAAGAGTCAAATCAGTATCCCTGAAAACGCGACTCAGCTTTGTCGGCTGCGCCCTAATACTCGAGCCCGCTGATAACTCACGCGACGAAAAGCCATCGTGTAAGCCCTGAAATAGTAACTTGTTGTGGGCTGGAGTAAAGCTTAAACGACGATATCGACAGCCATGATATCTTGGAATAGATTTGAGCCGAAAGCTAGTCTTCGCATTGCTCAGAAGTCGACCCGAAGTTCGAATGCCACTCTTTATGAACGACTTCTCAAAATCTTCAATGGGATCAAGATCAATAATAGCAGCTGAACAGGTGTCTTTTTCAAAAGTGAAGTCTGGGCCCGGGAGTGGTCTGAACGATAGAAGCGGTAATGTAGCAGTTGGTAATCGTTGCTTCTTTGTCCTCACTTGCGTCTGAGCCTCTTTGCTAGATACGTTACATTTTACGGTGTTTTTGAGAGAGGGGGGGTCGCCCTCTACGGCTGTGGCTAGAACAGAAGCTGCGGTGATTGGAGGGTTACGCTGATCTTGACGACCGGATTTTGCACCTGCTTGGCGTGGCTCTAACATCGACACGGAGGGAGCTCTCAGCATTAATGAGCTGGCAAGGACCAGCCTCTCGATTGAATATCTCAGGTGTCGGCGGGATGAATGTGCTTTAAAGCCACTTCCGTCGAGCTTCTTCGTTGTTGATAATAACGGAGCATGCGGCCACTATGCTGCTAAATGTTACGGACGCATACGTCACAAGCAGTATAACTGTGAGGCGCAATATGAAGCTTGATGAAAACAGTGGAGGAGTCTAAAGGCCAACCTGCAACACGATGCTGCGTTTGATCTAGAGAACTGGAATGGTGATGTGAGCGGCTCAGCGGACACTGACCTTGAAACAAATGCGCGCGCCCTGAAGGTGAGATTTCTAGCTGCCTAAGACTTCGGAGTGAGGGCCAGATCTATATGATCGGATACGTCAGACAAGCAATGGTTATCGATTCAGACATGAAGGAGTAGAAGTTATTCCATGACAGAGAGCAGCGAAGTTCTAAGCATAGTCAGGTGACGTAATCGGACCTACCTTGGTAGTGGATCCGTATATCCATAGTTGCATGGGAAAGCTTGGCGCCCGATGTTCGCCGTGTCACCAACACACACGATTTAGTATAATCGACATTTTTATCTATTACCACTATATAATACTTATATAGTACTAAATATTACTAAATATTAGTTCTATATAATCCTTATTATATCTCTATAGCCTTTATATTACTTTATATTATCTATAATACCTCTAAAACTATAGAAAAAAAGTAGTTATATAGAGATATTCTATTACGGGAATACGATATATACATAGATATAAGAGTATTTATAGAATATAGTAAGTTTAATAAGGGAGGAAGCCGGAGTCTACTTAGCTTCCTTAAGATATAGAATAGAGTATACTATTAAAAAGGGGCTTACTAAGCTTTATTAAGTAAGGAGAGAGTAGTAGTACGGGCGTAGTATACTAGCGTTAAGTATACCTAGAGTCTACCCTTAATATTACTCTCTCCCTCTACTTATTTATTACTAGAGTCTACTCTAGCTATAGACTACTTATAAGTAAGTATTATCTAGCTTATTTCTACTAACTTTCTAGAAAACCCTTAATAAAGCTACTCTTCTAGGCCTAGTTATTATAGTAGTAATTATTATTAGATTATAGTAATACTTATTATTATATATAACGCCCTCTAATATAGGTCTTAGTAACTAGACTTAACGCTTACTATTAGATTATAGTATATATACCTTCTATTAAAAGAATCTATCTATTAAATCTATTATAAGTTATTTATAGAAGATAGTTTAACTTCTATATTAGTAGCTCCTTTTATATCTATATCTCTCTAGTACCGGGTAAATAGCTATCTATCTAAGAATAGCTTCCCGATATAGTAGTATCTATTATTACTCTAGTAGTAATAATTATTATTATAGAATAGTAGTAACCTCTATTACTACTATATATAGTACTCTCTATAAGCTAGACTACTTAGATTTAATATATATATTTGCGTAGTAAGTCTAGCGAAATTTTACTAGACTTACTATCCATGTATCTACTTTAATTTAGCCCTATACCTTCTTAGACTTTAGCCCTATACCTCCTTAGACCTTAGATCTATTATTAAGTATATAGAAGAAAGAGTTTAGTTCTTTAATTAAGGACTATTTTTATATTAATCTATCTCTTACTAGGTACTTCTTAGTTAATATAGTACCTATTATTGTATACGCTAGAACTATTTACTCGTCTATTAAGAGTATATAAATAAGGGTTATTTATATATTCCGGAGTCGCGCGTAAATAGATATTTATATATTATAGATATCTTATTTATAATATCCTATTCACGAAGGTCTATTTATAATTTTAAGGGTTCTAAGTATAAAGGTATAGTTTCTCTTCTATTTTTCTAGACCTTAATAATCTTATCTCTCTCTATTATAAGATTAGATTCTCCTTCCTTATCTAGTTAGAGTCTAGTTACTAATATTTAGGTTTTATAGATAAATAATATTATCTACTACTAGGGCTATACCCTAGCTAGTAAAGACTACGCTAACTAAGCGGTAAGTATTAGACTCTATATTATTTATATTAGACTCTACTAATTTACTTAGTTAAACCGAAGTTACTTCTACGCTTATTATACTCTAAGAAGAGTAAATTACTAGAATCTATAAGCTAACTTAGGAACCCTTATTATAATAACCGCTAACTAAGTATTTTAGGCCGGAGATCGCTTATATTACTTATATAGTATAGACTTAGTTAGCTAATACTAGGGCGTAAGTTCTTTTCCCCTCTAGTTCTATGTTTTAATACCCGACTAATAGTTAGTTTAGACTAGATATCTATAAGGACCTCGTCTAGGTTCTAAAAGCTATAAAGGCTTTATAGTCTTTATAAGTAGCTAGTCTACTTCCTATATAAGACTATTTAGACTCTCTAGATAAATAATTACTAACTATACTTTTAGTACTATTGCCTTCTAGATAACTACCTAGGTAACTAATATAGTAGTCTAGTAGAGTTAAATATAAGTTTAATTCTAGACTCTAGTTAAATTCTCTTACTAACCTTCTATTATAGTATAGGCGGTATTTCTCTAGTATTAGTATTAGAGCCCTATTAGGCTAACCCGTAGGCCTATTAGAATATACTAGCCTCTAGGCCTTTTCCTTTAGTATTTAGTTCTCTCTCTCTTTTTTTTTATTCTTTTCTTTCTTATAGAATAAATTTCTTTTCTATTCTCTCTTAAGACTATATAGTCTTTCTCTTCTTTATCTATATTCTATAGGTTACTAGATAGATATCTTCTTTTTCTTTATAGTCTATTACTCTAGTAGACCGTTATTTATCTTAGTAGGTCTGAACTTCTATTTAAACTTATCTAATATAGCGGTATCTATTAGATTTACTAAGGGTTTCTATATTAGATTATAATATCTAATCTATTTTACTAGGACTTCTCTTCTCTATTCTCGCCCTTTATTTCTAGTATATAGTATCTCTTTAATTTACTACTCTTCGTGTATCTTAATAAGTATAGAGTCTAGTTATTTATTATTAGTATTCTATCTAGATAGAGGGTCTTTACTAGCTAGTCTAAGTAGATCTATATAGAATACTAAGTAGATATTACTAGAAAGCCCCCTTAGTCTAACGGATACTAGTAATAGAACTTTATCTATAGTATATTTCGCGTACTTTAAGTCTAGGTGTTATGGATAGCGATGTCATGGCTTGGTCAAGTATTAAATTTATTACTAGCTACTTTATAGAATCTACGTCTATCTATATCGGACCTTTAGTCCGTAGTTCTTACCGTTATTCATCTCCTTATTACTTTCTATAATAGCTACCCCTAATTAACTTAAAACGATAAATTAACTCGAAATAATAATATCTTTTATAATAATACTAAAGTCCGTTACTCTAGTAGGCTTACTTTAATTAGGTGCTTGTGTAGATACTATGCGATATTACTTTCTAAGTATCGGTAGAAGTATTAATAGTATTATTATAATATAGCTCTACGTTTCTCCGGTTCTTACACGAGGATAGCTTCTATTACCTTTAGATTTATAGTAACTATCTAAAGTCTATTGTGAACCTCGAGGAAAGCTTCGAATTAGTTATCGGGGTATTTAAATATATGATTTAGTACTATTCTTATTACTCTTATTTCTTTTATATTTATTTAATCCATTTATAGTATCGGTATAGCTATAGAGATCTAAGACTATTCGTATATATCGTCGTCTTTTCTTAGCTAATTTAAGTAAGTAGATTTAGTAGGAGTAGAAACTATAGGTATTAGAGTAATAATAGTTTCTATATTTATAGCCGCGGCGGCGCTTACGACGACGGTAGTAGCTATAGTACTTATAATAACGTTAATCTCTATGTCGGCTATAGTACTTATAATAATATTAATATCTACGTCGGTTACGGCATTAGTTTCTACTAGTAGTATGGTTTTAGTAGCGGCTTCTTCTATTTAGGAGTCTTCTATATCATAGAATTCGTTTACTAACTCCGAGTTATTAGTATTCACGAGCTTCGCGAATTACTACCTTTATTTCTTAAACTTATTTAAGACTACTTCTTTATATATAACTTCTATTAGGTCGTTATTTATATTAGTATCTAATTCTCTAACTTCGAGTAGCTTAATATCTAGGCTCGATCCCTTATTATCTAAGAGCTTCTAGGCGTTTCGTTCTAGAAGTTCCTTAAACTAATACTCTAGCGTAGGAATTCTAGAAACTAGTATCTCTATCTAAATATTATTAAGTTTAGAATAGTAATTATAAGTACTAGCGGCCGCTACTTCATTAAAGAGCGTTTCGAAGGGTATTCCGTTTCTATTAGAAGCTTTATATAGTTTATCTTCTTTTATAGCGAGTAGATACTTAAAGCTATCTTAGATATATTACTAGTACCTTCTAATGATTTCTTTAATATCTTATACGCCTACTTCTATAGCACGCTCTATGGTTTTCGTCACGCTATTAGGATATTATAGGTTTATAATTATCTCTATGAATCTTCGTATCTAGCCGGTGATTCTTAGTATTTATCTAATTAATTCTTTCCTAGATAAAGCATCTACCGTAGGCGTAGTAGTTACTATAGGCGTAGCTATTACTACGGGCGTAGCTATTTCTACTATCGTAGCTATCTTCTACGTAGCGATCTTTTATACTTCTACTATAAACCTTTTTAGAGTCTCCCTTATAATATCTTTTATCTAAGCTTCTATCTCTTTCTTATGGGCTAAGATAAGCGTGTTTATTTCCGCCTCTTATTAACTAATAGCGTTTACGGTTAACGCGGCGGGAATTAAGATAGACTCTTATTAACTAATAGCGTTTACGGTTAACGCGGTGGGAATTAAGGTAGGTAAGGTCGCGGGAATTAAGGTAGATCGTAGCTCCGTTAGCTCTATTAGAGTAGACGGAAGTTCTAACGACGTAGAAGCTACCTTAGATACTATTATTTTAGCGGTAATTAACTTTATCTTCTTTACTATTTTAGC